GTTGACTCTGGTAGCGTTCCACTGGTGGTCTATACAGACCAATTCAATTCAATTCAATTCAATTCAATTTTATTTATATAGCGCCAAATCACAACAACAGTTATCTCACAGCGCTTTTCATAAAAGAGCAGGTCTAGACCGTACTCTGTGATGATATTTACAGAAGCCCAACAGTTCCCACCAAGAGCAAGCACTAGGCGACAGAGGCAAGGAAAAACTTCCTTTTAAGAGGCAGAAACCTCGAGCAGAACCATGGCTCAGGGTGGGCGGCCATCTGCCTCGACCGGTTGGGGTGAGAGAGAGAGAGAGAGAGAAAGAGAGAGAGAAGAGAGTGAAAGAGAGAGAGAGAGAGAAAGAGAGAGAGAGAGAGAGAGAGGGATGTAAGGAGAGAGAGAGGGGAGGGAGGCAGCCTACACAATATACACACAGAGGTACAGACAGCGAAGGTAATGTTGCTATAAACTAAATGAAAAATGGTACAGATATTTATAATAGTGTTAATGGTAACCATCGTAATGTTAATGATTATAATAACAATAAGACTAGCAACAATAGTCGTTGCAGTAGAGGGTGTCGAGCAGGAACACGGGGGCAGCAGGCGACCCGCAGCCACAGATCCAGACTCCACAGCTCCAGAGCCAGAAAACCTGCAGGAAGTGATAGGAGGAGAGAGGAGAGGGACGAGAAAGCACAAGACTACCAGAAAGGGGAGAAGTTGTGTTAGTAACATGCAATAATGGGATAAGGTTGCATACAGAGGGAGAGAAAGTAGAGGAGAGAGGAGCTCAGTGCATCATGGGAAATCCCCCGGCAGTCTAGGCCTATAGCAGCATAACTAAGGGATGGTTCAGGACTCACCTGAGCCAGCCCTAACTATAAGCTTTATCAAAGAGGAAAGTCTTAAGCCTACTCTTAAATGTGGAGATGGTGTCTGCCTCCTGAACCCAAACTGGAACCTGGTTCCACAGGAGAGGAGCTTGATAGCTGAACGCTCTGGCTCCTAGTCTACTTTTGGAGACTCTAGGAACCACAAGTAACCCTGCATTCTGGGAGCGCAGTGCTCTGGTGGGGTAGTAAGGTACTATGAGCTCTTTAAGATAAGATGGTGCCTGACCATTAAGAGCTTTGTAGGTAAGAAGAATGATTTTAAATTCTATTCTGGATTTTACTGGAAGCCAATGCAAAGAAGCTAAAACAGGAGAAATGTGATCTCTTTTTCTGGTTCCTGTCAGAACACGTGCTGCAGCATTCTGGATCAGCTGAAGAGTCTTAATGGACTTTTTCGAGCAGCCTGATAATAAGGAATTGCAGTAATCCAGCCTAGAAGTAACAAATGCATGGACTAGTTTTTCTGCATCATTTTTAGACAGGATGTTCCTGATTTTCGCAATATTACGTAGGTGAAAAAAGGCGGTCCTTGAAATTTGCTTAATGTGGGACTTAAACGACATGTCCTGATCAAAGATAACTCCAAGATTCCTCACAGTGGTGCTGGAGGCCAAGGCGATGCCATCCAGGGAAACTATATCTTTAGATAATGCGTCACGGAGGTGCTTAGGCCCCAGAACAATAACTTCAGTTTTATCTGAGTTTAACATAAGAAAATTACAGCTCATCCAGGTTTTAACATCCTGAAGGCACATTTGAAGTTTAGCTAACTGATGAGTTTCATCTGGCTTGATCGATAGATATAACTGAGTATCATCTGCATAACAATGAAAGCTTATGGAATGTTTCCTGATAATATTGCCTAAAGGAAGCATATATAAAGTGAAGAGGATTGGTCCAAGGACAGATCCTTGAGGAACTCCATGAGTAACTTTGGCGTGCATGGAGGACTCATCGTTAACATGTACAAACTGAAATCGATCTGATAAATAGGACTTAAACCAGCTTAGAGCGGTTCCTTTAATGCCAATGAAATATTCCAGTCTCTGCAATAGGATCTGATGGTCAATGGTATCAAATGCAGCACTAAGATCTAATAAAACCAGTACAGAGACAAGTCCTTTGTCTGATGCAATAAGGAGGTCATTAGTAATTTTCACCAGTGCTGTCTCTGTGCTATGATGACCACAATCCAAGAACCTTATTGCATTCTTTGCATTGCCCAAACCGCAGGTTGATGCAATGGATTTTGTTTTTACAGTCCTATTGTTTGGATATCCGCCACATTAATGGCTGAGAACATCGTGGCAGATGCTTTGTCAAGAGCACCTTGCTCATAAATTTTGTACTCTACCACCTAATATCTCTGGCTGTCTATCTCTCCTCACTTTAGCTCTTAAATGCTTCTCCAGGCGCCAGAGTTGCTGGGTTGCAGGGTGGAGATTGACAGACTGGGGGTGACACTACAGGATTGGTCAGTATTAAAAATAGTATTAGGATTAAAAGTAGTAAGGTTTCAAATGTAATTACTTATTCTGTTTGTTTACTTGGTTGTAGTCTGCCGGAATTCCCGGTGGGAACCCCGTTTATGTGGTTCTGGGAGGTCATCGTCAGCGGCATGAGTGCAGCTGTTGATTGCATTTGTGTTCGTACTGACATTCCACACCCACACACTGACATGACTGATCCTGATTTACACGTTATTGTAAAATAAATTGTTACTTTTTACATGCAAGCCCGTATAGTCTCCCATCTTTGTCGCAGCCAAAGAGCCGGGCTGTGACAAAGTAGCGCAACAATTCTTTTTTTCAGATCCTCAGAGTTCTTTGCCATAAGGTGCCATGTTGAACTTCCAGAGACCAGTAGCGATAACACCAAATTTAACACACCTGCTCCCCATTCACACCTGAGACCTTGTAACACTAACGAGTCAAATGACACCGGGGAGGGAAAATGACTAATTGAGCACCAATCTGGACATTTTCACTTAGGGGTGTTCTCACTTTTGTTGCTAGCGGTTTAGACATTAATGGCTGTGTGATGTGTTATTTTGAGGGGACAGCAAATTTACACTGTTATACAAGCTGAACACTCACTACTTTACATTGTAGCAAAGTGTCATTTCTTCAGTGTTGTCACATGAAAAGATACAATCAAATATTTACACAAATGTGAGGGGTGTACTCACTATAAATGCATTTAACATATCAGTTGACTGGAGCTAACCTAAAATGACACTCTCCCCATTCAGCCTTATTAATTATGAATCTCCATAAGCACTTTGTGTTATCATACTGTTTACCTTTCCTGCTACCTTTTTTGCATCAAGCTTTGTTGCATATGTCTTACCTCCTTTCAAAATTAGGCTCTATGTGTAAAGGAAACAACAAAAAGAAAAACCATGAAACAAATTTCTAGCACAAATAGCACAAACATTACACACTTCAGTTATGAGCTACACAATGTCTGGGGGTAATTTACTCTGCTCATCTCTCTCATCATCCAGCAGCAGCTGCTTTCAGAGAAAAGCCTGGAAAAAGCTACTGTTCACTGCCTGCTCAGCAGCAAACAGCAAACAGACACAGTTAGAGACTAGTTAGTGAACACAGTGGAGCAGTTAGCAGCTACAAAGACAGCTACTTCCCTCAGGAGCTGGTGGAGAACAAAAACAGAGCTAAAAGAGAGAAATCACATTCATTCATCAGGCAGACACCTGCTAACTGTTTGCAATATCAACATTAAAGGTAATGACATATCAGTATTGTGCTGCCCCCTATGTTGAAAATTAAGGTGATAAGCTGACTATAGAACTACTCACTGATTCCCACATATTCCACAGTGATCCTTGATGGCATCATTATGTTTGATGCCTGTCTGGTGAACTGTGTTGAACTGTTTGGTGTTGTGTTTTCTTCACAGCACATGTGGTACTGGTAACATGACGGAAATGTCATACTGTGGTAGGTAGGTGTACAGTAATAATAAAATTAATAATCTGTGATGTAGACAGCTGTCCCTGAGCCTGGAGGAGCAGGACCGGATGCCGTGGTCTACAGGACGGCAGAACAGTCTGTGGCTGGGGTGATTGGGGTCTCTGATGATACCATTGACCTTTTTCCTTCATGTGGTGTAGAGTTCCTCCATGGATGGCAGCTCCTCTGTAGAGCCTTATGGTTGAGGGCGGTGTAGTTCCAGGTGGTGATGTAGCCTGTAAAATACTTTCTTCTCATCCAACATGTGGTCTGAGATAAGGTTTTTGAGACAGGTCTGAATTAAGGATACTCAGCTATCTAACAATAAGAAATCCAGCTAACCTTTCTATACACAGGTTGTCTTGATGTTCAACTGAACTTAGATTTTTGTATAACATAAAATGAGTAAGTTATTAATTCACAGAATTAACCTCTTGTTTACCATCTGACAACACTGCCGTTTTGGGACCAATGGACAAATCTCTGTAACAATCACCATTAGCAATCTTTGTAAAATTGTAACTATCATAATATTATATTATGTAGCGCATACAAGTATTAGTAGGGTGACCACATGTCTCTTTAGACAAAAGTTTCACCCCAAAAGTCCTCCTCCTCTGGCTAACTGCACTGCCTTTTAAGTTTTAGGCTGGACCTCAGCCCTCTTTGAGCTCACATCTTGTTTTTGTCTTTCTTGAAGTTTTGTGCCTTACCTAAACAAATTTAAAATATTTTCTCAACAAGCCTCTGAATGAAAGTATTAAACTGGAAAAGTTGTTCTGTTTTATTTTTGTCTTGCAAGGTGATAGTGTCACGCTCTGCCAGGTGGCCATCCTTTGTGTTGCACTTTTGAGTTTAGTATCTGCCTTAGTATGTTGAGTTTTGGGTTCTATCCTGTCTAGTGTCCAGTATCTGCTATATAGTCTGCTTGTCATGTCAAGTCTCTCTGTTTTCCTCTGCTCTCTCTCTCTGCCTCGTTAGTCTCATGTCTGTCACCTGTGTTGCTCCCGCCCTGCTCGTTAGTCCCTGTGTATATATACCTGGTGTTTCTGTCTTGTCCTTGTCTGGTCATTGTTCATTTTACCCCCCAGTCTGTCGTGTGTGTACTCTCTGCCTGCCTGTAACCAGCCTTGCTTGTCTTTTGGATTTCTGTTATTCAGCCACTCACCAGTAAGTGTGCTCGCTTTTGGTTATATTAAAACCCTTCGTTGAACTATACCTGCTCCGCTCTGTGTCCTGCGTTTGGGTCCTCTAACCTGCTTCCACACCACGATCGTGACAGATAGCATGCCATTTCTTAACTTTATCTGACCAACGTAACAATTAGACTAGTTGAAGTTAGTGCCAAATATATTTTATTTGACATATCAAACTTGTAACCGTGTACTTGTTCTCCTAGCGTAACCACAGCTGTAGCTGCGCGCATAGGTGTCATTTACACTGGGGACATGTCCACACCACTTTATGAAATGGCTAATTTTGTCCCCATCACTTTTTAAAGCATAATTTGTTTAAAAAAAAAAAATTCTGAAATACAGGTGCTGGTCATATAATTAGAATATCATCAAAAAGCTGATTTATTTCAGTAATTCCATTCAAAAAGTGAAACTTGGATATTATATTCATTCATTACACACAGACTGATATATTTCAAATGTTTGTTTCATTTAATTGTGATGACTAAAACTGACAACTAATGAAAATCCCAAATTCAGTATCTCCGAAAATTTGAATATTACAGTAGAAATGTTGGCCAACTGAGAAGTATGAACATGAAAAGTATGAGCATGTACAGCACTCAATACTTAGTTGGGGCTCCTTTTGCCTGAATTACTGCAGCAATGCGGCGTGGCATGGAGTCAATCAGTCTGTGGCACTGCTCAGGTGTTATGAGAGCCCAGGTTGGTCTGATAGTGGCCTTCAGCTCTTCTGCATTGTTGGGTCTGGCGTATCGCATCTTCCTCTTCACAATACCCCATAGATTTTCTATAGGGTTAAGGTCAAGCCAGTTTGCTGGCCAGTTAAGAAAAGGGATACCATGGTCCTTAAACCAGGTACTGGTAGCTTTGGCACTGTGTGCAGGTGCCAAGTCCTGTTGGAAAATGAAATCTGCATCTCCATAAAGCTGGTCAGAAGCATGAAGTGCTCTAAAACTTCCTGGTAGACGGCTGCGTTGACCTTGGACCTCAGAAAACAGAGTGGACCAACACCAGCAGATGACATGGCACCCCAAACCATCACTGACTGTGGAAACTTTACACTGGACTTCAAGCAACGTGGATTCTGTGCCTCTTCTCTGTTCCTCCAGACTCTGGGACCTTGATTTCCAAAGGAAATGCAAAATTTACTTTCATCAGAGAACATAACTTTGGACCACTCAGCAGCAGTCCAGTCCTTTTTGTCTTTAGCCCAGGTGAGACGCTTCTGACGCTGTATCTTGTTCAAGAGTGGCTTGACACAAGGAATGCGACAGCTGAAACCCATGTCTTGCATACGTCTGTGCGTGGTGGTTCTTGAAGCACCGACTCCAGCTGCAGTCCACTCTTTGTGAATCTCCCCCACATTTTTGAATGGGTTTTGTTTCACAATCCTCTCCAGGGTGCGGTTTTCCCTATTGCTTGTACACTTTTTTCTACCACATCTTTTCCTTCCCTTGGCCTCTCTATTAATGTGCTTGGACACAGAGCTCTGTGAACAGCCAGCCTCTTTAGCAATGACCTTTTGTGTCTTGCCCTCCTTGTGCAAGGTGTCAATGGTCATCTTTTGGACAGCTGTCAAGTCAGCAGTCTTCCCCATGATTGTGTAGACTGAGAGACCATTTAAAGGCCTTTGCAGGTGTTTTGAGTTAATTAGCTGATTAGAGTGTGGCACCAGGTGTCTTCAATATTGAACTTTTTCACAATATTCAAATTTTCTGAGATACTGATTTTGGGGTTTTCATTAGTTGTCAGTTATAATCATCAAAATTAAAAGGAATGAACACTTGAAATATATCAGTCTGTGTGGAATGAATGTATACATTATACAAGTTTCACTTTTTGAATGGAATTACTGAAATAAACAACTTTTTGATGATATTCTAATTATGACCAGCACCTGTATAGCTTGCAGTTAAATGACAAATGAAAATGCCTTTTGAAAGGTTTATTTGCACAATAAGAAAACATGCATTGCAATTAAAATATAGAAGAAACAAATGTGCATTGTCCAAAAAAAGTAACTTAAGCTAAAAAAAAAACAAGCTACTGATTATAAAATGACCCAAAAACATGCATGCACCAATCAGTAACTTTAACAACTTCTTGCCACAGTTTCTTTTTGGCCAAGTTTTCCGTTCTCTCCCTGTGAAAGGAGGATGGAAAACTAAATCATGCCTACAGTAAATATGTGCTGCCTCAGCAGGGATGATATTATGAGAAGATCTACAGGAGAAATGGATCTGAAACCAACACAGAATGACTAAGAGCTGCACTCATATTCTGTTATGTTTATATATTTTGAAATGTCACGTGCTACCTGAATTTTGTTTCCTTTTACATAAGTATAAACATTTCCATCATAAATTAGTGCAGAAACCTTCACCAGAATGCAGCAAATGAATTAAAGATCAAAATTTCATGGAGGAGGTCCCCCCAGACCCCCCACTCATATATCACGCCATTGATGATATCTTTAAAACACTGTTTTAGGATCTTTTCGTCTCGTTCTCATGAACCTAATATTGCTTATCGTGATGTCTCGCTAGCTAAGTGTCTCTTAGCCAGCTTTGAAAGTTGTTAACTTTCTGGAAAGTAACTTGTTTTGTGTTCGACTGCAATGAAGGTTAGAACAGAAGAAACATTGAATCCTGCATCTTCCTGAGAACTGTGCCTGCAAAGTCTTGGCTTGGATCTCGACCCTGAAACGAGACTGCCGGACCAGCTGCTCTACAGGAATCACCAGGGAGCGTAACTGCACCTCCAACACCAGTGGAAGCATCTCGTGTTTTTTTTTTTTTTTTTTTTTGCTGTGATATAAGAGATATAAGTTGATGTTGAATAAAATAGATAAATTCCCATTTAGGAGACCAGGTCAATTTATCATAATTAAATTCCTTCTTGAGAGACTGATCAAAAGAATAATCAACTTTTAATTTGGTTTCATTTCCATGTTATTAATTCAGTGGTGCCCCGATAACAAGTGTTTGTTAAAGTAACGTTTCTCCTACAACTGTAATATTCAAAACTACTAAAATAACATCTAAGTTGTAATAAACTGGAATTATCTTTGAGGACCATATGAAATTGTGGTGTGCATTGAAATTCATGACACATTTAACTTTACACTTTGAACCTTTTCTACTTGGACACTCCTTTGCAGCCACCCTAAGGCTATTAACTTTGCAGACAACGTACTGTCTCCCACAATCTGATGAGCAGATTGTTGTGGAATATTCTGATCACATTCCTGCTCTCCATAATATGAACCTATTTTGAGTCCAACCCTCAGTACAAGTTCAAAGACCAGGTAACTGTCAGTATGTTGTCTTCTCCACCCAACACTGTGTAGTGTAATGATAATCTTTATATACAGAGTGATGAATATTACACCTCTATAGTAACAACTTATATTTAGTTGTTACATATGCATGCTTCTCTGTAGTTTAACATACTTAGCCATTGAATTATTCAGATTCAGTTGATTTACACATAATTGTATGTAAACCAGTTCATAAAGACTCATCTGACAATAACTGTACAGAGACACACTGACATAGACATCCACCTCAGATGGGGTGAGGGTGTCACCTTGAAGAGGAAAAATCTATTTCAGAAAGCTTTTAGGGCAGGTGTGGGCGTCTCTCACCTGCTCCTCAGATCCATACTGCCACTTGAGGCTACAAGGTGCTCTGGTCAACGCCATCCAACTGAAAAATGCTCCTGTCATCCCGTGTGTGTAATTTCTACACATACACAGTGTTTTGTCAGTTTTTTTTTTTTTTTTAGGAGAATAAAAGGAGCTCTAGAACATGTATGACTTCTTTCCTCCTGCAGAAACACCATCATCCCTCAGCATCACATCACTGCAGAACAGAAAACTGTCAGCACATGCCTCCCAGTATAACACGAGTCTAATGACTGAGTAAACGTCTGGGTTCTATTCATGGTCTATTGTATATCTTCATTCACCCTAGTGTAAATGGGTCGCCCACTAATCATAAGGTCGGCAGTTCGCTCCTACAGTCTGCATGTCGAAGCGTCCTTGGGCAAGATACTGAACCCCAAATTGTTGAAGACTAGAAGTTGGTCTGTACGAGCGAAGTGCAGTCCATTTACCGCTCTCCCCTGTAGCAAGTAGGACTTGAACTTACTATTTACTACTTACTTGTACCACTAGTAGCCGTACGTATTGTTTTAAGAATTTTTTCATAATGATAGCTAATCTCTTAATTAAATATTTGGTAGGTTTAATAATAGTTTATTTACAGCAGGTACCATTAACACAGTCCTTTAATTAAACCACTACCTGTTACCTTTACATGTTGTTATTTTAGTATATTTGATAATTTTGAAACAAAAGCTCCACCTAGTGGGTGATTTTGTACAGAGCTTCCTTTTGGCCAGGGACAATGCTGGTCCAGCTATCATGTTAATCAAACTGACCCATGTGGAGATATGCATCACTTTGACCGTACCTACAGCAAGTTCTCGGAAGTAGTTATAGACGGTTGATCAGGGAGTAATAAAACATTCACAAAACCAGTATGCATATGGTGACACAGTGCTTTTCAGACTAAAGAAGGAAACACTTCCAACTTAGAAAAGCACCTCAAAGACAGATATTCCGATTTATTTATAGACTTCAAGGTGAGTGAGTCTCAGTTCATGTTACATTAACAACGTATCCAAAGTGTTAACCTTGTTATGTTGTAATCCTCAAATACATGTTAACATTACTTTTGTTTGAGACAGCTGGCATTGCTGTGACACCTGGCCTACTGTGTTTAGGCTAACGTAAAGTAACCATAGCTCGTAGCTTTAGGCTCCCAGCCTTACCGTTCAGTCTGTGTCATCTGTCATAATGTTGTTAGTGTTTTAAATAAATATTTCTGAACTAATGGTCTGTAACCTGTAAAATGTCAGTAAATTTAAACTACTACTGCTTGCACTCTGAATTAAGGTGTGTGTGTGTGTGTAGCCTCTGGTTGTTGTTTTTTTTTAGCTATAACTGCTAATTTATTAAAGCAGTGTATGTTAAAGTACATGGGTTTTTTTTTTTTAACGTGGTATCAAATTGGGTTTTGAGAATCATGGCATTTCACTGGTATTGGTATCGACTACCACATTTCTGAGATTGTGACAGCCCTGGTATGTCAGGCAGTGCTTCCAAAACTTTGTGTTGCACTGGTGCGGTCTTGGATCCAGTCATATTGTTAAGCATCCTGCACTGAAAAATAAGTCTGGAAATGTTTTTTTTGTAGGGCAGAGATGTGAGCTTTCATGCATAGGATTATTGTGTTCTGAAGCTTGTTGACCTCGAAGAATGATTTCAGGTTCTGAAATGAATCTGTTATTTCCCTCCTTAAACTGCTGCTCCCACATCTCCAGTTTTCTTGTGAATTATGTGATTTTTGCTCATGTTTCTGCAGATTTAGTTTGTTGAGTTTCTGAAATATGTCACTGAGGTATGCAACTTTCATTAGGAAGGTCTTTATCTCATCTCGCAGTTCAAAGATCCTGGATAAAACCTTCCCTCATGACATCAGTCCTCGCTATGGAACAAAACAACTGTGTGGTCGGAGCCCATTGCCTCACACAATGCATAACTTGAGTCAGTGTACACCCCTCTGCTTTATGTGTAGATAGATGGGAGCCCTCTCACAAACGTCTCAATCTTATGCTAGCCCCCCTGAAAAAGCTTTGGCTCGCCCCCCCACTTTGGGAAGCACTAATGTAAGGTGATTGAATGTGCAACAACAAGCCAAGACGCACTTACCTCGATTACAGCACCACCTGCTTCTTTTTGCCACCTAGCCACCTATTCTTTGTAGAGCCTCGGTGGAGCATTGGAAGGTAATGTCCCACGTTTTGTGTTAATCAGACTGACCTATGTCATGTGGGGATATGACATCATTTCCTATTTTGACTGTCACCGTTTGAGGCCGTCTGCGGGAGCTCCGTTTCCAGAGGGTTAAATGATCAAGCTATTATGGTGTATCAGCAGACATAATTATGTTTTTCATAGACTTCTTCATAGACATAGCACAGTAATTGGAGTGGAACCATTTGGTGAGATTCAGTACTTTTGGGCTTACTGACAGCCAGACAAAAGTTAGCAGGATTCTCATGTCACTTTCATTTTTATACAACCAACATGTCCGGAAAAACAGCATATGCAACCTTTTAGTACATGTGCACCATCTACACATAAGGCTCCAGGTGGATGGCAAGAAAACGCAATGCTTTAAATCTACATGCAGCCCACTTGCATAGCAGTGTGTATCGAGTTGCACTCTTTTACAAGCAGCAATCTTTGCAACTCGAAATGTGTTGCTGTGCAAGCAAGTCTGCATGTAGATTTAGGCTTTGTGTGTTTGTATAAGCCTACAATGCAGTGAAAGGAGTATTTTAAGGGTGCATTAATATATATATTGCACATTACTGTGGTTTCTCCACTTTTGTGGCTGCTTTTTGCCTATTTGGGAATCCGGATTTCAACTTTTTGTGTCCTGCTTTCATCCAGTGTAAAGTGGATGTGAATACCTAAGAGAATGTGGTGCATTATATGGGTCCATACAGGCCACAGAATAACACAGTTTCTTCAGTAGGGAGGTAGCTGGTTAGTCTGGGTCAGCGTGGCAGGCTGCGCGGATGTTTGACGCAGTCACCCTTCCAGCCTTCTGGTCAAACCACTGGAAGCATTTTGATTGTAGTCTTGTCTCCCTTTCTATCTCATGACACTACAATTGAAAAAGGTTGAGTAACAAATTTGTGATATGTGACAAATCTAAACAGTGATTAATTCATTTTTATTTAAAAAAAATTACTTTATTAAATTATGGACAGAATTTTGATTTCTGCACTTGAACTAGCAAGTAGTGCCTGGCACATTCCTGACATACAAGTCTTCAACTCAAGCAGGAAGCTTCCGGTCAAAGAACTGAGACAGATGCGAAGTCCCTTAAAACTGCATTCTATCGAACGGTGAGCAGTGGATGACTCTTCCAGTTGCAAAAAAAAGTGAGGCTACTTCTCAGCTGATTTATGTAGTCAGTACTCAGTAAACACTTTCAAAATGAGTTTATGATCTTAGTCTCTAGTTTCAGGTCTTCTTCAATACAACATGATGTTCACTTAGTAAATTATGGTCCCATTTGAGGAAAATAGACTATAAATAGAGTATGCTTCAGGGCGGGATTATCTGTGATTCACAAGTCGTTATCAGGCTAGAGTGACTCGTACCCATGGCGCTGTGTAAATTTAACCAGCACCGTTGAAAAAGCTTATTAGGAGTTGGCTGTTCACTTTCTCTGGTGAGTACTTATAGTTTTAAGACGCTAGACAAAGTTGTCAGCCCTGTTAAAATGACAGTTAACGTGAATTACAGATGCACCTAGCTAATTATATATATATATATATATATATATATATATATATATATATATATATATATATAGTCACATCCGGAGCCACCGTTTGCAAAAAATCAACATGGAGGCGCCTTTTCGGCCAAACTCGAGTCTTCAAAACTAATGGGTGACGTCACAATGAATACGTCCACTTCTTTTACAGTCTATGCTTCAACCATGATCTAAATATTCAGGGCTTGAAGCTGAAGGAAAATTGACAGGCCTGTGCTGCAGTGTGGAGTGTGTGTGGAGTGTCCAGTGTGGGCTGCCAGGTTGGAACAGTATATAAATACATAGAACTGATGTGGATATCTTTATGTGCATATGTTAAAGTGAACAATAATAAAGTGTTCCAATGCAACTAGTTCCTGTACCAGCCCTTTGTTTTCATCATGTAAGCTATAGTCCAATTCAACTCTTCACAGCATGATTTGGTAGATTCTGAGTAGCATTATGACAAATAATTTGCCCCCCACCCCCCTCTTCCCCAGTTTCTCCTGTTGTCCTGTCAAATTTAACAGAATGCAAAAATGCAGAAATATAATCCTTAAAATAACAGAGTGTGATACAAATTTCTCACTTAGCCTCTTAGCCATTCGAGGGCAGCTAATGGCAAACCCAAAAATCCTGACAACATCATGAAAACACCAGAGTGGGAACGCCACTGCCC